CCTCCCAAGTGATGGGACTACAAGCATTCAGCATCACTCCTGGTGACCAATAACAATTTTTTTTTTTGGCGGAGCCAGGGATTGAACTCAGGCCCTTGCGCTTGCCAGGGAAGAGCTTATCACTGAGCCGTCTCTCTGGCCCCTCAATAATAAATTCTAACCTAGAGAGATCACAACTGATTAGGATCCTTCAGGAAATGACTTACAATCAAAGTTGTCCACTGTCAGAATAGAAACTTCCAGAACCATTTAAGCCTAATGTGGGCAACAGAACGCCACACCCCCTCCATCCAGGACCTTTCCACAACCCTTAGACAGAAGACAGGATAAAGTAGCAGCCAGCTGAGCCCTAGTCCAGGAGCCCAGAACCCCGGGGGAGCTTGGGAGGTGGACAGCTTAGCCACAAAGGTCCTCCCTACACTCAAAACTTAGATGAGCCTGAAGACGCTGGAAAGCTTCACAGGCCTCTAAGGTGAGAGATGGTGGAATATGTACAGGTTGGAAAAATAAGTAAGCTTAGACTCTTGCTTTCCTGTTTTGAGAAACCTTTTTTTAAAAAACCAACAATGACAACTTTATGGGAAACTTAAGAGTACACAATAATTCTATGAGATAGGTCCTATTTGTATTGGTGTTTTAGAGATTAAAGAAACTGAGGGCCAGGGAGATGGCTCAGTGGAATAAGCGCTTCCCTGGCAAGCACAAGGGCCTGAGTTCAATGCCCGGTTCCGCAAAAAAAAGAAAAGAAAAGAAAAAAGAAAGAAAGAAAGAAACTGAGATTAGCTGGGCATGGTGTCACACACCTGGAATGCCAGTGCTCAGGAGGCTGAGGCATGAGAATTGCCACAAGTTGAAGCCCAGCTTGAGCTACATAGTGAACTTAAGGCCATTCTAAACTATGTAGCAAGATCCTGTATCAGAAAACCAAAAGGAAAAAGAAAAAAAAGAAAGACAGAGAGAAACTCAAGTTAAAGAAGTGAAGTCATTGAGTAGCAATGGCCAGTTAGCAGGTTGCTAACTCATGCTGGTCCACAGTACAATACATCCCCAATAAATGAAAGCTGTTATTACTGTCCAAGTTTCTCTAGCAAATATATACTTTTATTGTCTCTGTATGGTACTGGGGATTGAACCCAGGGCCTCTGCACTGAGCTGCATCCCCAGCACTCTTATTATTTTTTTTTTATTTTGAGATACAGGCTCACTAAGCTGCCTAGGCTAGGCTCCACCACAGCAGATTGAGGGTGCATGCTTTTATAATGGGGTTCTGCCTTCCCCCAGTGAGTACTGCTTTTGAAAAACTCAAGTTGGCCTGCCATATTGGCGGACTCTGGTTTCTCTCTAGACACCACATCTAGCAGTTCACCAAGTGTCTGCCCGCCGCAGAGGTAAATCCTGCTGCCGGGTGAGTGCGTTCCTTGCTTCCAAGCCTTCCCGAGGCCTCCCACGCCCTCCCTGACAAGGCTTCCCACAGGTCCCAGAGCATCCCCATAACCTCCAACTTCCCCATCCTGGTATACAGAGCTTCAGCAAACTGGGCCTGGCGGTGCAAGCCTGTAATCCCAGCCACTCAGGAGGCTGAGGCAGGAGGAGGAACCCTGCCTCAGTAAAAACTGGGGCCAGGGACATGCCTCAGTGGCACAGAACCTGCCTGGCAAGCGTGAGGTCCTGAGTTCATTTCCCAGTGCCTAAATAAATAAATACTGAAAAGGGCCAAAGATACAGCTCGGTGGTAGAGTGCCCGCCTACATGCAGAAGGATGTGGGTTTGATCCTCAGTACCACCAAAAAAGAAAAACAACTGCCTGGTGGGTTCTTCTCTCAACCTAGAGAAAATCACAAGGTAGAATCAAAAGAGGACTGAGCAAAAGTAGAAAGCAGTATTTATCATAAAGCGGAGGCAATAAAGCTCCCGAGCAAATGAACCTGGAAGGGGGTCTGAAAAGGGTCACTAGAGACTCTTTTGTCTAGGGGGTTTTATACACAGAATGGGTTTATTTATTTGTTGTGGAACTGGAGATTGAACTCAGGCCCTTGTGCTTGCCAGGCAAGCACTTATTCTACTGAGCTATCTCCCCGGCCCCCAGAATGGGCTTATAATCAGCAAAGTGTGACATAGAAGTGGGCCTACAGGACTTCAGGTGTGCAGCAGGCATAATCTTGCAAGCACCATTCACTGTAATGTGAAACGGCCAATCTAATAAGGCTTTTGTTCACTGAGCCTCCAGGTGACCTGGCTTTGGTCCTCTAGGTGTCCTCTAACCCCAAATCCTTCTGACCCCCTCCTTAGCTCGGCCTCCGCCTGGTGCCCTGGCTGCCCATCCCATCCTGGACCTCCCTTGGCCAGAATACCCCACACTGCCCCTCCCCTCATGGGCCAATGTCACTCTGAGAAATCTCATCTCCCACAGGGCCTTGTCCTCAACAATGACTCTTCGGAACTTCTTGTTAGGTTAGGAAAATGACACTCACAAACCTTAGAAAATGGCACCAGAGTCCAACTATGCCAGCTCGGAGGGCTCGTGGTTCCTGCTCTCCAAGTCTCTTATCTCCCTGCTTCCAAACAAGCAACAACCAAAGACAGGCTTCCAGGAAGCACCTATGCCAAGTTCAACCAGCTCTGGTCACATTTTCCAAACCCCTCCTTTGGCAGCGGGCCTGGACCAGCGGCACGTTTGAATTATGTTGGACTTCTGTTGTCCAGTAGGAGTTTCTAGAAAGAGCAAGGATTCTGGAGGCAGATGGTTCTGTGTCTGAATCTACTTTTATTGCTTCCTGCCCAACATAATTTTGAGCAGGTCACTCCATTTCTCCAACCTGCTTTTTTCTCATTTGTAAACCTCACAAGGTTGCCTTGAGGCACTTGGAAGGGATGCAGTGATCGGAGGGCTGCAGCTCAGTGGTAGAGCACCTACTTGCCCAGGCTGCTTGTGGTCTTGGGTTTGATTTTCAGCACAATCCTCAAAAACAAAAACAGGGCCGATCAGATAGCTCAGTGGACTACAGTGCTTGCTTACGCACAGTACAGTGGCCAGGGTTTGATCCCCAACGTGCTATGCCAGTCTCGCCCCCGAGATGGCGATTGAGACTGGGCATGATGGCGTGAGACTGTAATCCCAGCGTTTGGGAGGCTGAAAACAGGAGAATCACTACAAGTACAATCTATGTAGTGAGACCCTGTAGACCCTGTACTAAATACTTAAAAAAAGAAAAGAAAAACAGAATTCAAGGGGAAAGGGGAAAATACTAAAGACTGTGGTCCGAGCCCTTTGGAGGAATTTGGTAATTGAATCAGAGCAAAAATTAAGTGAGTGCTTGAGATTACAGGTCAGACCATTAAGGCTGGAAGTCTTGAGATGATGAGTGATAGGAGGACTTTTGCTCAAGCAGCACTTTAAACAACTAAGGGGCCGGGGAGATGGCTCAGCAGAATAAGCACTTGCCTGGCAAGCGCAAGGGCCTGAGTTCAATCCCCAGTTCAACAAAACAAAACAAAACAAAACAAAACAAAACAAAACAGGCTATCCGGCAAGCCTCTGTGATGATTAACAGGAGGAAAGAGTTTTCTTAGGAGAAAATTTTGAAAAAATGTAGTCTCTAAAGATGTGCTGAGTGATACGTGGCATTGTCTCACTTAATCTTCACAGTGTTCCTGCAGGATACTATCCCCACTTTACAGATTAGAAAAAGGATACACAGGACTCCTGACATCCAAGTTGATGCTCTTAACTAAACTTCCTCTTTAACAGCCTCTGTTGCTCTGATGACTAGTCTAACACAACATCTTAATTTTACAGATGAGGCCCAGGGAGGGAAAATTATATACTAAGGAGTGTAGAGGGGCACCTTACCCAGTTCTCCAAAAAGGCACTAGAATTCAATCTTCTTCTTCTTCTTCTTCTTTTTTTTTTTTTTTTTTTTGCAGAACCAGGGATTGAACTCAAGTCCTTGTGCTTCCCAGGCAAGCGCTTATTCTGCTGAGCCATCTCCCTGGCCCATCAATCTTCTTTCAGGCCATTATCTAGTCAAAGAGTTAACAGGAAGGGCCAGGAAATGGCTCAGTGGAATAAGTGCTTCCCTGGCAAGCGCAAGGGTCTGAGTTCAATCCCCGGTTCCGGGAAAAAAAAGAAAAAAAAAAAAAAAGAGTTAACACGAAGCTGGGTGTGGTGACCCACACCTGTAATCTCAGCACTCTGGAAGTCTAAGGTAGGAAAACCCCAAGTACAGTCTCATTCTAGGCAACTCAACAATTTAGCAAGACCCTGCCTAAAAATTTAAAAAGCAGGGGGCTTAGCTGTTGTGGCACACACCTGTAATTCCAGCATTTGGAAGGCTGAGGCTTTGTATTTGAGGCCAGCCTGGGCTACATCATGAGTTCAAGTTCAGCCTGGGATAGCAAAACCCTGTCTCAAAAAAACCTAAATAGACTCCAGCGTGGTGGCACATGCCTGTAATCCGAACACTCGGGAGGCTGAGGGAGGAGGATCAACGTGAGTTAGAGGCCAGCCTGGGTTACAAAGTGAGTTTAAGGCTAGCCTGAATTGCATAGTGAGACCCTGTCTCAAAAAGACTAAATAAAAAGATATAAAGAATAAAAAGGCTGAGAATGTGCGAAGGCTTTAGTGGCTTCAATCTCCAGTACCAAAAAAGATGCAGCAGACAAATCCAGAAATATTTATCAAGTACCTGTATCATTTCAGTTAATCACAAAACTGTCCCCCAAAAGTAGTTTCCCCCAGATCAATTTAGCTCAATAGTAGCAATGTCGGGGTCACACATACACGTGCAAGTGCTTCCAGCAATTTCAGCGACCTAATACCAGCGTATCCCGGGAATTTCTGGCCAGCGTGTGAAGAACACTTCACATCCATCCAACCCGGAGTCAGTTCAGAGCAGTGAATTCTGGGATTTGCGATTTCCCATGATGACTACCCGCCTCCGCTGCCTGTTGGTTACTCGGGTCCGCGAGCTAGCCAATCAGAAATGCACAGGACCTGGTCGCCTAGGAAACCGCGTGGCAACAAGATGGCGGCGCCGGGACGGCTCGCTGTCCCCGTGTGGTGAGTTCCCGGGCCCAGGCTTTTCAGGGTCCGAGGTTCCCCTCAGCGGAAACTCTCGCCTCGAGGGTCCCGGGGGCCTGCGACTTTCCGCACCGGCTGCCCCAGTGGCCATCTGCGTCCCGGGAGCGCTCTCCAAGCCCGGTCACCACGACCGAGTACTGACGCGGAGCGCGCGGTGCGGCTCCCAGGGCGTGGCCAGGTCGTAGTAGCAGGGAATTAGACAGGGAGGGCACCCTGCAGCCGGGTCGGCGATGAGGCTGCGGTTACGAGGAGTTAGTTTTGTTGAAGGATGTTGTTAGGCGACCACATGCGGTACTGTTTGGTCCCAAAGAGCAGAAGCATAGTACCGTCAGAGCCCGGTTCTGGAGCGAGCCATACATACCCTTAGGAGGGAGAAGACAGTACCCTCCCCAGAAAGCCCCTGTGGTGAAGAGGACGTACTAGAGTCTGTCCTCAAAGCCTAACAGACTGGTGAAGGAGAAGACTTAATCAATCCTGGCCGCCCCAGACTGACGGGAAGAACTCTTTGACCCTAAGTGTGTCCGAAAATCCTTGGGGAAACAAATCCAGAGAGATCCGTGGACGGATTGGGAGAGACTAGAAGCAGGACAGCTAGTGAGGGGCTACGGTGACAGCTCTAAGGGAGGGTAGGGAGCATTGCATTGGGGGCCAACAGTGAGCATTGCAAGGAGATGCCACAGAATTTTGCCTACAGGGTTTGATAACGAATGTAATTAAGAGGGAAAGGGAGGATATTTTTGTAGCTGGATAATGGGGTCCCATTAATAAGGGGAACTGAGACCAGGCATAGTGGCGCTCGCCTGTAATCCCAGCGTCAGGGAGGCTGAAAACAGGAAGATCACTACGAGTCCGAGCTGCGTGGTGAGACCCTGTACCGAATACATAAAAAATAAATAAATAAATAAATAAGAATTGGGAAAATAGAAGTACTGATTTTGTGGGAAGGTGTTGGTTTTGGTTTGTGTTGTTTTTTCTTTAAGATAATATTACTGATACAAAATTCAGCTATACTTCAGCACTTTAAAGGTAAATTTCAGACATTTTTTAGTAAACATTCCATGCGAATGAAATGTCCGTAATGGGAAAATCTGTACAAACCGAAAGTAGATTAGTGACTGCTTTGGGCTGGCTGGGGGAGGGGATGGGACCCCGAGGTAAATGAGGTGTAGGCGTCTACTGAAGGAAACTGGTCAGAGGTTGGGGAGACAGCTCAGTAGAATAAGTGCTTGCTTGGCAAGCACATGGTCCTGAGTTCAATCCCCAGTCCCCCCAAAAATTAAAAAAAACAAGAAACTGATCTTTTAAACTGAAAATGACCCAAAAATTGTGGTGATGGTTTTCACAACTGTGAATATATTAAAAACTTAACTATACTTTAAAAGGGTAAAGTTGGGCCGGGGAGATAGCTCAGTAGGATAAGTTCCTGCCTAGCAAGCACAGGGTCCTGAGTTCAATCCCCGGTTCCGCAAAAAAAAAAAAAAAAAAAGTTTATATACAATATGATTCCATTTATATAATGTTCCTAAAGTAAGAAAATTGTAACAATATTAAAAAAAAAAAAAAAAGAATAGTGGCCCTAGGTGGGTAGCGAGAGGAAGACAGACCTCTGCTTCTGCATCTATTTTGTTTTTGTCTTTTTGAGACAGGGTCTCACTATGCATTTCAGGCTGGCCTTGAGTTCACTTTGTAGCCCAAGCTGGTCTCCAACTCACTACAATCTTCCTGCCGCAGCCTCCCAAGTGCTGAGATTATAGGCATACGCTACTGTGCCCAGCTCAAGGTCTGCATCTTGATGGCTGTGGTAGTTAAATGACACATACCCACCTGAGCAGATGGCACAGGCCCTTACACACACAGACAGTACAAAAATGGCCAATTTCCTGGGCCAGTGAGCTAGCTCAGCGGACTAAGTGCTTGCTTTGGCAAGCACAGGGACCAGGGTTCGATCACCAGTCTCACATGCAACGCCGGGCCCCGCCCCCAGGGCACACTGAGTCCTTGACAGAGACCAGGTGTGATGGCACACTCCTATAATCCCAGCACTGGGGAGGCTGAAAACAGGAGGATCGCTGTGAGTCCAAGCTGCATAGCCAGGCCCTGTACCAAATACATAAAAGGAAAAACAAAGCAAAACAAAAAACCCAGTCAATTTCCTGATCTTTATGTTGCACTGTAGTTAAATCAAATGTAATAATTGAGGGAAAATTAGGTGAAGGATATACAGGACCTCTCTGTACAGTTTCTTGAATTTCCTGTGAATCTGCAGTTATTTTATTTTATTGTATATTTAAGACAGGGTCTACAGGGTTTCACCACACAGATCAGACTCATAGTGATCCTCCTGTTTTCAGCCTCCCAAGCACTGGGATTACAGGCTTGCGCCACCATGCCTAGTCTCAATCACTGTCTCAGCGCATCCGGGGGCAGGCCAGTATGGCACACCGGGGATTGAACCCCAGTCTCTGTGTCTGCCTAAGCAGATGCTTTTAATCCACTGAGCTATCTGGCCAGCCCCTGTAACAATTTTAAATAAAAAACCTAATCTATGACTAAAAAGCAAAATGAAGGAGGGTGGGAAAAGGACTTAGTTTGGCCAAGAGAAGGGTGTGGAGATTTCCAGGCAGGTGGCTGCATATAGGTTTGAGGCATTGCTAGCTGCTCCCTGGCCCAAGTGTAGGGGATTGGTGAGGTGGGAGTGAGATGAGACACAGACTGGGACAACATTACCCAAATGAGGGACTTTGATTTTTTTTTTTTGTGGCTGAGAAGGAACCATTGTGTGTGTTGGGGGCGCGTTGTACAGAAACCTGGGGTGTGTGAGTCTTGTGTTTTGAGATCTCTGACAGCAGGTAGAGGCTGAGGAGGGAATCACAAGGGGCTGTCACGTTTGCCACTTAAGCATAAGGGTGCCCAGATTACACGGGACTGGACGAAGACAGAGGCCAGGTAGCAGACTAAATTTGGGGATGAGGACACTGGGCTGGTCCCTGAAGGAGAGCTCCTCCTGAGGAAGGGGTGGGGCATGAGTGTCACACCTAGAAAGAAGGTCTGGAAGCTGTTTTTGCTGGGCAGTGTCTGGGTTAGGTGGGAGGTCAGTGCCACCTATTTCCAAAGTGGAACTTCTTGGGTTTATCCTAAAGATAAATTGTTTAGACCCTCCCTGATGGAAGGCCTTTCTAGGGCTCTAGGATTTCTAGGTATTAACCATTGAACATGCCCTGAATGAAGTAGTGGCCTTTAGTTACATCCCTCATGTACACTTCTCTTTCCAGTAAAAAGGGGGAAGGAAGGGAAACCAGCATTGGTAATTGGCCAGCTCTGCGTGCCAGTAACATGGCCCACATGGCCACATTCACATTTGTAAGTGCTTCCTTTGAGCATGGCACTGGGCTAGATGCTTGCTGATATCTCTGAATTCCTCAGCAACCTGCCTGGCCGGTATTGTTAGCATCTTGCCCCAGAGGAACTGAGGTGCCAGGTGCACTATGGGCAGCAAAACCTGTGCAGAGCCCCGGGCTTGTGATGTCCACATCACAAGAAGGACTGTGTCTTCCTTGGTTCCTGCCTGGGGGCTTCCCCTTCTGATTTGGAGATGTTGAGGGTGGCACCTGGGTTTTGGTAAAGGGAGAAGAGACACCTGGGTTTTATGTCAACTGGCATGCTGATGGAGGGACAAAATCCTAGGCCTTCTTCAGTAGCCTTGTGTCAGGGCTCTTGGTTTGAAGAAGCCCCGGACCTCTGACAGATCTCTGTACTTTGCCCCCCTTGCATAGCATCTTCCCAGCCATCAGCAGGCCTCTGCGGTCAGAGGTTTCCAGATGAGCAGGTAGATGTTGAAACCTCTGCCAGACACTGGAGGAGCAAAGGCTGCTGCCTACCTCACCCCCAGTGCTCCCTCTTAGGAAGAGGACATAGGGAGAAGAAGCTTCAGGCCACCCCTTGGACCTGAACCCCCAAATCCCCTTTGTCCCCAAGGGCTGACTTCCCTCTTTCCTCTCAGGACGTTCCTGATAGGTAGCATCTAGACTAGAACTATGAGCTCACCTCTGGTCTCCCTTAGCAAGACCCGGAAAGTACCCCTGCAGTCGGAGCCTGTGAATCCTGGGTAAGGAAGTGGCCTTGTGGGGTCCCTGTCTCCCTTCCCATCTGCTCCTCAATCCTCCCCTGGGCATAAGTATCACTGCTATTGGAGTCACTGAGAAATATGAAGAAGAGTCACATAACTTCCCCTGATGTCTCTGTCTGTCTCTGTCTCCATCTCTCTATCTCTGTCTCTGTCCCTCTGTCTCTGTTTCCCCACAGCTCCCTGCCCCAGTACTGGAGGTTGAACCCAGGGCCTTCACAGTGAGCTACATTTTCAGTGCTTTCCACCTTATTTCTGTTTTGTTTTGGTTTTTTTAGTACTGGGAAGTGAACTCACAACCCTGCACTTGCCAGGCAGGTGCTGTGCCACTGAGCTAAATCCCCAGCTCACACCCTACTTTATATTTTGAGGCAGGATCCCATTAAGTTACTTGGAGCACAATTCCTCAGTCTCTCAGTGGCTGGAATCACAGGAGGGGACCACCACACCCAGCAGCAGTGCTGGTGCTTTTTAAGTTTTAAAAAAAATATTTATTGATTTATGTATTTATGGCTTGTTGTTGTCTTTTTGAGACAGGGTCTCACTGTGTGGCTCAGGCTGGCCTTGAGCTCACTTTGTAGTCAGGCTGGTCTTGAACCCACCATGATCCTCCTGCCTTGGCCCCCAAGTGCTGGAGTACAGGCCTGCACCACCACGCTCCTTTTGCTTTATCCTTGCCATAAAGCACCCCTTTATGCTGACCAGAAACTGGATTGCACCTTTCTGAAAGATTTGGGCCCTGGGGGAGGGGCTCAGTACCTGTCCATGTCCTTTGTTCTGCAAATACCAGTGGCCCGCTAGCCTGGGCCAGGCTCCTTGTGGGGCTGTCAGTGAAGGGACTTGCTTGTATCTGTTGAGTATCTTCATCTTTGTAAAGGATCTTTTGCCTCTTTTTACCGTCTTGATTTTCTGAACACTGCTTGGAGTCATTCTAAGGCCAAGGCTGTCCAGAGAGGTTAAGCAACAGGTTGGGGGCCCGGGGAGACAGCTCAGTAGAATAAACACTTGCCTAGCAAGTACAGGGTCCTGAGTTCAATCCCCAATACCAAAAAAAAAACAACAACAACAACAACAAAAAACAACAACAAAAAAAACCAGGTTGGGGGTCCCACAGCCATTTCTGAGGGCTCCCTCCACCCCTGGACGGCTGGGGCTGGGGTGGGGCTGGACGTCCCCAGGAGGCAGAGCCCCTGCCTCCATCTCTAGCCCTGACTGGCACCTGGGGCTGGTGGCATTCCAGGGGTCTTAACCTGTGTTTCTTCCTTCTTCCTGCCTGTATTCCCAGGAGGCGAGGGATAAGAATCTATGGAGATGGTAAGTGCAGCTTGGCCTCGCGTTCCCCTCGCCTCCCAGACCTCCTCATATCTGGACAGATGGGGACGGAAACCAGGAGCAATGTCCCTTCAGCACAAACCGCTGGCCAGCTGCCATGTGCTCTGTAGCTGCCAGTCTGTCCCCATGCAGCCTGGGCTCCCTCACACTTGATCCCCTTGACCCACCGTGGGACTGGCCGTGGGCTCCGCCTCCTTTCCCATGCTCCCCTCTCCCATTCCTGTCTTCACAGTTCTTCCCTGGCCCCTGTAGGCTCAGCTTTTGGATGTCAGCCCCACTTTTGTCCCACCATAGTGCTGCCATTGGCCACCATGGAGTGGAGCTGGGCGAACTCTGAGATGAGGCCCATTTTGATTGGACCCTTTCTCCCTCTGCCTCTGGGGTTTTCTCTCCTCATAGTCATGGGGGACAGTGTACAGCTGTTTTACCTTGCCTGAGGCCCAGGGCCAGGGCTCGGCCTGAGCAGTGACTGGGCATCCCTGTCTGCAGAAGATGAGGTGGACATGCTGAATGATGGACCTGGCTCTGAAGAGAGGATTGCTGTTTCTTCCCGCTATGGTGGCATAGCTGCCCCCGTGAGGAGCCAAGGTGAGAGTAGAGGCCTGGAGGGACCCGAGTCTCAGCAGTAGGAGGGCCCCAGAGAAGGCTGTGACCCCTGAGAGCCATGGCTGAGCAGCTGCTCCCACTCCCGGCCAACAGTCCAGCCAAGTCAGACTGTCATGGAGACTGTGGAGATACCAAGTATAATGTCTGTGGGTCTGGAATTAAGGATCAGAGCAGACACAGGGCCTGAGGGGAGAGCTCAGCCTCTGACCACCTGCTTCTTGTGTCTGGAGGATCCAGACAGGCCTGGGGTCCCATAGGTGGCCCATTGCACCTGGCCCATGGCATCTGCAAACGTGGGTGGGGATGATCAGGCATCTGGGTCGGGCCTTGGGGATGGGACACTGGGCAGGGGGGAATGGGCTGCGTGGAGCAGGGAGGGGTAAGAGCCTAAGCCATGAGACAGGAAGCTGGAGATGAGGTGAGGACTTTCCACTGACTGTGCTGTCTCCAGGGAGCACTCAACTCTCCAGGTGAAGTGGGAGCACCTAGGCCAGGATATTGGCCAGTACTTGGTGAGAAAAAAAAAAAAAAAATGATGAGGTGCTGCCTGACAGAGGGCCTGAGTCAGTGCTGGCCATGCAGGCCGCTCAGAGTGGTGGCTGCGAATAAGGAAGTCAGTAGTAGGAAGGGGCTTGGTGATGTTTGACCAAACACCCTGCCTGTGAAGAAGAGACAGGACAAGGCTGGCCCAAATCCCACAGGTGTTTAGTCACAAAGCCAAACATTCATACACCTACCAGAGCTGCTATAAACAATAACCCCGGCAACCAACTCCTCCTCTCCAAGATGCTCTGTGTCCCCTGCCTTTCACGTCATTCTCACTCTACCTTATTCCCAGCCAGAGTCTGTCCCCACCAAGGTCTTACATAGCACCTGGTTGTCTTGCTTCACTTCTCTGCTGAGCAGGACCTGCCCCGCCCCCAGAGAGCACCCTTGACTCTAGCCACTATGTTGCCTGCCTGCTGTCTTTGCTGGCACCTCCTTTGCCCCCTTTCAACTTTTCAGTGTGACCCAGTGACCTTCCCCACACTCTGTGTGCTGACAGCTCCCGGAAATTTGTTTGTCTGTGAAGATGCATTTGACTAATCGTGCTCAAGCTAGCATGAGCAGCAGGGAGATTTGTTATCGTGAGGGCTGCGAACCCCTGAGGAGGCAGCTCCAGGGCTGGTAACTCAGGGACTCAGGCATCTTCCAGAGTTCAGGTTTCTGTCTCCCCTGAACCCACCTCCCGTCCTGTCTAGTCACATGACAGGACCGGCAGAGCCTGCTTCTAGTACGTGACAATGACAGGAATGGTTGTTTATTCCTCTCTCTTTTGAGGCAGGGTCTCACTATATAGTCCCAGCTGTCCTTGAATTTACCATGGAGTCCAAGTTGTCCTTGAGCTTGTTAATCTACTGCCTCAGCCTCCTGATTATAGGCATGCACCATCATGTCCCGCTCTCCTACACATTTTATTTTGGAAGTTTTTCAGTACACAGAGAACCTGAAATAACAGCCCCCTGCCTATGCCTGCGTCTCCCACTTAGATAACAACCAGCAGCACGTCACCACACTTGCCTCACTGCGTGTGCACACATATATGGATGTAAATATATTTTTAGTAAACAATTTGGGAGTCAATTGCAACAGTCAGGACATTTTATCTCTACCTCTTCCGAATGTCCTAAGAAGGAAATAGATAATCACAATATTATTACACCTAAGATCATGAATAATGCATGTAGCTCTAACCTTTATCTCTTCCATATTTAAGTCTCCCTGCAGTCTCAGAATCTCTCTTAGAACAAACTTCCTTCCCCACTTAGCACCTGAGAGCCATGCACCACCCTCACACCTCTTTGGCACAGTCTCCCAGCCTTGAGACTGGGCGTGGTGGCCTGCGCCTGTAATCCCAGCTCTTGGGAGGCTGTAAATAGGTGGATCACTATGAGTCTGATCTAGTATTGAGACCCTAAACACCCTGTAGACCCTTCCCTAAAAAATACAATAATAATAATAATAATAATAATAATAATAATAATAATAAAAACTGTGTCTCCTAAAAAAAAAAAATTCCCAGCCTTGTAAAACAGGGACCTTGGGCGCCTATCTTGTGGGAGGCCCCCCTCCTGGGACTTTCCTGCCATTTTGCCCATGGTGACGTGTGCCTGGCTCCCTTTTCTGCTGTACTGCCAACAAACTGCAGATTAGATTTTTTTGTTTGTTTTATTGGAAGAGAAAAAAAAATAGGAGGGTAACCATAGTTAATACATTTTATATAATTATCTTTAAGTTAGTTACTCAGAGTACAAGATATCGGCATTCAATTGCCAAAACAATATTGGCACAAACTTTTCTTTTCAATGGACTGATGGAGATTAGATCTTGAAGCTTGATTAGACTGGTTTAAGATAACCTTTCTGGGCTGGGGAGATAACGCAGCAGTCTAAGGGTCTAAGTGCCTGCCTGGCAAATGGAAGGACCCGAGTTTGATCCCTGGTACCACATGCCATGCTGGCCCTAGAACCTCAGGTGTGCTGTGCCAGCCCCGAAACCTGGCATAGTGGCGCAGGTCTGTAATCCCAGCGCTGGGGAGGCTGAGACAGGAGGATCACTACGAGTCTGAACTGCATAGTGAGACCCTATATCAAATAAATAAATAATAAATAAAAGATAACCTTCTGACAAGACCTCAGAGTGATAGAGCCCGTGGGTTGTACCACTCATCACAACACCTCCAGTTCGCCAAAGTGGCTCATTTACTTCATGGGCACCTTGCATGAATTATATGAGCTGCTCTATGTAGTCCTGAGCAGTTCCTCTCATGTGCGTTAGCTGCTGTTGGTACATTCTCTTCTGCTCTGGGGACCCTCCCCTTCTCCCTGGGGCTCCCCACCTCAGCCTCCGCTTCAGGCCTGGGCTCTGGAGCCTGTCTGCTCTGCAGACCCTGACTTCCGGGATTCAGAGCTGATGGCCTCCATGACCAGGAAGCTGCAGCAGCTGGAGCAGCAGGTGCAGGCCCAGACCGACGAGATATTGTCCAAGGTAGGACCCAGGTGGGGGGGCCTGGGAGGTGCATGTTGGACCTGGTGAGGCGGGTCCCAGAGCCATTGCACCCACCTGGCAGCCTAGTTTGGTGGCTTGGGGTGGCCCGGGATTGATCTGGGTCCCTCTGACCTGAGCAGAGATGCCAAGAGTCTTTGGTGCTGCTCATCAGGGCCCTGTAGGCCTGGAGCCAGGTAGAGCAGCAGGCTGCTGAGCACCCCTAGGCAGTGGGCCTCTGCACAGCTGCACCATTCCCTGCCACAGCGGGTCCACAAGAGTCATCTCTGGCACAGGAGCGGTGGCAGGACCGAAGATGGTGGTGGCAGGGGCCCTGTGCTGCCTAGTTTTCCCTCATACCAAAAATTCTGAATCTTGACATTGGAAGGGCACAGAGACTCACCAGGCTTGTGCTCACTCAGTGTCTCACCGCTGCAGAACCAGAAGATCCTGGCCTTGGAAGAGTTGGTAAAGACCCTCCAGCAGCACCAGGGTAAGAGACCCGGGGCTCGGCACTTCCCTAGGCCTATGGCTCTTGGCAGCTAGGACAGTGACTCTGAGCATTGAACTCAAGAGCATCAAGCCAGGTCCTTGGTGGGATCTAGACAGCTTGGCCCACAGAGAGGCAGCAACGGTTCTAGGACAGTGCTGCAACCACCCAGTGCATACCTATGTGGGACTGAGTCCCCTGCAACAGGGCGTCTCATCCAGAGCATAGAGGAGACGAGCTCCAAGGGGATAGGGAGCCCCTTGAGAGTCAGGGCACTGCCAGGATGAGAGATAGGGGTGGTGAGACAGCAGTTCTTGAGCACCCTTTAGGGCACAGTACCTGACAGGCTCTGGTTTGGGGAAGCTGAACCACCCCCATCTGCCCCCGAAGGTGAGGTGACCATGCAACGGCAGGAGGAGCTGGAGACCCTGTGTGCGCAGCTGCAGCAGCAGGTCTGGGAGATGGAGGTGAGCGGAGCTCAGCGATGACTGGCCAGATTGCTCTGCTGGCTGTCAGCTTCTCAGTAATGGCGGCAGAGCCCGCCTCCCTGCGCCTCTCCTTGTCAACCATCCTGCCTAGGGGCCCTGCCCAGTTTCCCTGCCCAGGGCTGACTTAAGTTTGAAGAGCAGGGTGGAAATCCAGGCGTGATGTTGCATGCCTACAGTCCCAGCACTTGGGAGGCTGAGGCAGGAAGACTGTGAATTCAAGGCCAGCCTGGGCTACAGAGAGAGAGAGACCCTGTCTCCAAACAAAACACAAAGGCCGACATGGTGGCACATGCCCGCAATTCTAGCTTTCGGGAGGCTGAGGCAGTAGGATCACTGCCCATTCAGTGCCAGCATAGGCTGCACATAGCGAGTTCAAGGCCAGTCTGAGCTACATATGGAGACCCTGCCTCAAAAAGAAAAAAGATTTAAACAAAACAACAGGGTGAAGTTTAGTCCCAGGAGGCCCCTCTTGTCGGGGACTGCATGTGCCCCTCCCCTGGTTGGTAGACCGCGTGGCTCCCAGATGGACTTGGCTCAGCTTCAAGGTCCTGCTGTGGCTCTAGGGCAGCCCGTGCTACGCTCACCTTTTTTTTTTTTTTTTTTTTAAATAACTTACTATGGAGCCCAGGCTGGCCTTGAACTTGTGGCGATCTTCCTGCTTCAGCCTCCTGAGTGCTGGGACTACAGGCATGCACTACCACACCTGGCTTCCTCTCTCCTCTCAAACCATGCTCCCCTCTAGCCCTGGGGCCTGTCCTCTGGTTATTTGGTAGAACTCTTTCTCACCACAGGATGCTAGGCCAGGCTAACATATTTTTCCCACCTTCCCCTGGCATATATTCATTCACCCTCAGTCATTTCCTCAGGGACGCTCCTGGCCTGTGAGATTAGGTTCCGTCTTCTGCTTTTTTTTAGCACCAGTGATAAAGCTCTGGGCCTTCACACTGAGTAAGTCTTCAGCCCCTTTGTTCATTCATGTGTTTATTGAGACAGTATCTCACTGCATAGTTTAGGCTGACCATGAACTCACCATGTAGCCCTGGGTGGCCTCAAACTTACAGCGATCCTTCTGGCTTCAACCTCCCAAGTGCTAGGATTATGGCTGAGCACACCATACCCCACTATGCCCTCTGTTTTCTCAGTGCTTCATCTCTCTTCCCTACGGGCTGTGAATTCCACTAGGGAGGCACCACTCAGGGCCTAGTGCTGGGTCATCTCCTACCTCTGGATGCAACCTCTCCTTCTGCAGAATAGGATTCTAAGCTTCAGCCTCATTTAAGGCCCCAGAAGCACAGTCCTGGCTGTTTCACACTTGAGGCCTGAGTAATACAGCTGCCCCTGAGCTGCCTGCTGGGAAAGCAGGGTCCAAGGGGTGTCCCTGAGCAGCTGCACTGGGCAAAGTGCTGTACCCCAGAGCCTCAGCGGGTACCACTGGCTCACACATGTGTCATGCACATGGGCTCAAAGTTTCTACCGTGTGGGGCATGCTGCCAGGCACTGGGTACAGACAGTCATGGTCCCTACACTGCAGCAGGAGGGAGATGTAAGTATACAGAGAGGACGCAAATGCACGGCACACACCAGCTCAAGGGTGGGAAGTAATCAAATTGGTGACACCATAGAGATGAGTTGGGAGACAAGCCATTGTGGAGGGGACCTCAGGCATGAGATCTGGTGCATGCGGATAGGATGGAGGAGGTCCAAGTAGAAGACATGACCCCCCCCCAGCCAGGTAAAGGTGGCCGTGGTCTGGTGGCCACAGCAGGCAGAGGAGCTGAGAGTCAGGCAGAGAGCCCCCCGCCCTGTGGGCTTAGCCCAGGACTCTGCTGGATGGAATGGGGAGTGACTGGGCAGCTTTAGCAGAGAAGACAAGGATAGAAGGACACTGTGCCGTGTGGGGGCAGCAGGAGGCAGGGGAGGTGGCCCCGTGTCCAGAAGAGGGGAAGTGCAGCAACTTGGGCAGGGGAGCTGGAGTGACATAGGCATTTCAAGCCACTTTGGAGGTGGCACCTGTGGGCCTTGCAGCTTGTCACAGTCCTATAGGTCCCTCTTAGGTGGAGGAGTGCTGCTCCTTGAGACAGAAGAGCCAGGAAGGAAAAGAGGTCTGGGAGATGTACAGGGGGGCCAGGACCATGGGTGTGTGCTGGGACGCAAGGGCAAAGGTGGGATCTGCACTGAATAGGAATTTGGTTCTCTATGTATATTTGCAAGTGGACAAGAACCATAAAGGAGAGATGGGGCTTGGCCCTGGGGCCCTCACAGGCCAATGTGGTAGAAATGGGGGACCCAGCTGGGTGTGGTGACACACACTCATGATCTCAGTGACTGGGGAGCATGAGATGGGGGATCCCAAGTTCAAGGCCAACCTGAGTAACTGACAAATCCTGTCTCAAAATAGAAATTAAAAGGGGATGGGGAGATAACTGGGGAGGCAGGTTCTGGGTCCAACCCTGAGAACCCCCTAAAGAGAAAGAGGGAAGCAGCAAAGGAATAGTGGGGGGGGGGCAGCCGATGAGGAGGAGGAAACCCAGCAGGTGCTGAAAGAGATGAAGACTGATGTGCACCTGCTGGATTTGGCAGCAGGCCAGTTGTTGGTGGCTGCACCATGTGCAGGCCAGTAAGTTGTGGAGCTGGAGCAGGTGGTGTAGGCAGTTTGGAAGTTTTCCCATGGCAGAGGGAAGATGAGGGCCAAGCTGGCTGACCAGGTGGTGGTCACATCCTCTTGGTCCAAGTTGTTCCCTGGGCCAGGCTGTGCTGAGTCCTCCCCATAAGCAATGGGGCAGGTACTGTCACTTCCATCTTCTAGAGGAGCCTCGGCTGTAGGACGTGCAAGGCTTTGAAAGTCACAGCTGGAGGTGGCCAGGGTCCCATGTGCCATCCCCCTCACTGGTTCTGGGCTGAAGCCTGAGCCTGCAAGTTGAACCAATGCTGCTTTTCCCTGGGAAGGGGCTAAGTTGAGGTGCTGGTGCTCCTGCCTCTTCCCACAGCGGTTCCTCAATGACTACGGCCTGCAGTGGGTGGGTGAGCCCATGGACCAGGAGAGCTCAGAAGACAGGACAGTCTCAGAGGATGACAAGAGGGACTGGATGATGGCCAAGAAGTTCTGGAAGCCAGGTAGAGTAGAGGGTGCCCTGGAGCCTGGGGGAGGGGGGGCAGTCCTGTTGGCCTGTCCTTCTGCAGAGGCCCCTCATTCATGATTCATGTCTGGCAGCCCAGCAGACAGGGCCATGAGGTAACCCATCCAACCTGCCACCCATTGTCTTCCCTGGTCTTACCTCAGTCCCTGCTTCTTACCACTCAAAAACTCCAAAGACCCAGGGATGCCTGAGGTAACTACAAGGCGCTTTTGCCTCTGGCTCCATAGTCTACAAAACATCCTTCTCCTCCTCCTTCAAAAGCTGTTGCTTACAAAAGCAGTCTTTCAGTCAGATGTGAGGGTCCCAAGCCTACACTTCCAGCCTTCTGGAGTCTGAGTCAAATAGAGCCCAGCCTGGGCATCTTAGCAAGACCTTGTCTTAGAATAGAGAGGACTGGGAATATAGCTTAGTGTGAAGACCCAGGGTTCCATCCCCAAGGCCACAAAAATAAATAAAATAAAATCAGTTTAGGAGTGTTGCTTAACGGTAGAATGCCCCTATAGAATGCTTGTCTTTTGTACTGACCCTGGGGTTCAGCCCCAGTGCTAAAAAAATGGAGGGTGGGAGAGAGGGAGAAGGAAAGAGAGAGAGAGAGAGACAGAAGAAATGTAGTGATGCTGGTGAGGGGTGGATGGTTGAACAGGGGTGGACAGGAGCGACTGAATGGCTGGTGGCCATGCTGGACTACACAGAGGGGACAGGAGGATTCAAGCTCAGCCAGCAAGTGTGGCTGTGGGGAGATGGCTCCTCCATGTAGGATATAGCAAGCTGCAGAGCTGTGTGGCCCAAGAAGTGCTGAGGGCAGAGTTCGCCAGGAACCCAGGGTCCCCAGTTGAGGGGTGATGCCCTGAAGGGTGGCTGGCTGCTCATGCTGTAAGAACATCCTGGGTCTAGAACTGTGTTCTTCTCCCTCTGGTTCTAAGGGGCACCCTCCACCCTGCTTTTCTTTGTCATCAGTACTCTGAGAAAGGCTGGTTCTGAAGCCAAGAGTTTCCCTTCTAAAACAGTCTGTGGGAACCTCTCCCCCCAGTCCATCGTGATACTCCCTGGCTACAGGAACTTCTCCATCCTTACTTTTCTTTTATGTTTTGAGAGTCTGGCTATGTAGCCCAAGCTAGCCTCAATCTTGAGGCGATTCTCCTGCCTCAGCCTTCTGAGTGCTGGACTTGTAGGTGTATGCTACAATGCCTGACTTGCCTTTTCATCATAAGAGGAGCCTTGATTTGGCTGTCCGGCCAGATGAAGATAAAGTGTGCTTTCCATTTCCAGCAGCCTTGCTTCTGGGGCCTCCTGCCAGCCTGCTCCTGCCCCAAGGGCCCTCTGTCCCCAAGCTGACCTTTGTGGCCTGAGGCTCTGGCTTGGTTCCATGATTCCCCTCTGCTGGATACCACTCCCCATGCACTCTGGGGCAGTGGCAGATGAATGAGCATCATGTTTGCTGGAGAAGATGATGAGAATTTTCTAGAGCCTGGGGTTCTTGCTCCAGGAAGGAAAGTTGGTGGCACTTAGGAAAGGGCCCTACAGAGAGGGAATCTCGTCCCTTCCATCCTCCAGGATACTGAGCAGCGTACAGGGTGCTGTGTCAGGTGCTTTGGATATGTGGAGACACAAAAGGGACAGTCTTGCTCTGGTCACAACACTGTACCAGGTGTCAGGCCTCAACACTGTGCACCAGGTGTCAGGCCTCAGTGGTAGAGCTCCCAGCAGCCCTGAGAACATCAGTCAGCTGGCCCTTCCTGAGCCTCCCCCATTTCTGCCACCTCTTCTGCCAGCTCCCCACTGCACCTTGAGCTTTCCTTCCAGGGTCCCACCCTGGGTGAGTGCTGCCTGCTTCAAACCTCTAGCTTGGGAGGTCACACTACAGGGGTGGCAACCTGCTCTCCCACTCTTGGAAGCTCAGCTCAAATCCAGCCTCCTCCATCACGTCTGTGCTGCATAGAGCCCATGCCACTCTCTGAACTACCATATGGCTGTGCCAGCGCCTCATGGGAAGGGGCTTAGGCTGGGGATCTGGGCCAAGTAGTGTTGGCTGGACCCCCAGGCTGCTGAGCTGGTGGAATAAGAGCTCCCACCAGTGGGGTGCTTCTCATGGCAGATGTAATGACTGTGACCACCAACCAGGTTAACTTAGCTCTTCTGATGCCCAACACACCCAGCAGAGGGCTTGCATGGCACATAGGCCAGGGCATGTGCGCCTGCATGAGCTTGGCTGTGGTGCCCGGGAATCCCAGGCACAGTTTAGACGACACACAGGATGATGTAGGGACAGCAGTAGCTCCAACCTCAATGCCCGGGCCCAGAGGAAGGCTGCAGGAGGGATCTCACAGGTCTGAGGGAAAATCCTGCCTTGGCACAGGCTGGCTGTGTGCTCTGGCACTAGCCAGACTCTCCGAGCCTCTCCTCTGTGCCCGCTCCTGTGTGGTACTAGTGACCCATTTCCTGTTGCAAGAGTCCTGTGTGAGGTGGTAGGGCTGGGAGGGGGCAGAGTATCAGAGAGGCAGGGGCACCTTGGCACTCTGGCAGTAGGGGTTTTCGCAGAGAACCAGTGGGGGCCACCACCCATCCCAACAGTAGCCGGGTTTGGGCCTGCCCTGGGCTTCGCGGTCCCTATGGTGACACTTTTACCAGACGCCACTATCACTGTTTGTCACCCTGTGTCCTTCACTGAGTATGAGCTTGAGGAGAGCCGAAGTCTGGGCAGAGTCCAGCTGACCATGTGTGTTCCAGACGTGGACAGTTGAACTGATGGACAGACAGAGGGATTGGCACAGGCTCCTGAGCACCCACTCTGGCCGGCCAGGGCACAGCCCTCTAGCCTGGATTTAAGAAGTGCCCTGTGTGGCTTCTCCAGGGAGGTGAGGGTGGATGAGCTGGCCAAGCCAGTGATAAGAGGTGTTGGTGACAGCAGCAGCCCCCATCTGCCAGGCACTTCCTCCCAGCCTCCCAGCAGCCCTGTGAATCAAGGACAATTTTTGTCCACATGTTACGGAAGAGGAAGCTGAGGCTCAGAAAGGCCTGCTTGCCCAAGGTCGCAGAGCTGGGGACAGCAGCCCTGGCAGTGTGGCTCCAGGGCCGGGGGCCTTCCTACACCTATGATGGTCATGGGCTCGCCAAGTTGGGAAGGCCCAGGAGGTGATCTCTTGGCTGTGACCTCCCCTACAGAGGGGCACCGGTAGGCAGAATTCCCTGAGCCAACACTGAGCAGCAGCCTGCAAGGTCACTGACAGCGGAGGTTGAGTTACCATGCAAACTGCATGACCCAAAGCACATGTGTCAAGGCACCGTGTCCCAATCTGTGAAAGGAAATCATAATGCCTACTGCTGCGTGGCTGGCACAGGCAGGCTGCTGGGCCGCTCTTGTGGCAGGACAGGGCTCCCTTCCACCAGTGTCAGAGAGGAAACACTGTCTCGGCACAGGCCCACCGTTGCTCAGGCAGAGCTAGCACTTGCGCTCTGGCCTCTTCCTGCATGCGCCCCACTGCACCTCTCTCCTGGCATGGGCCAGGTGTCTACTACACAACTCTGGTGCCAGGGCCCACTGGCCTTGTGACTGCATGTGACTCTCCTCCCTGCGCTTTCTAGGAAGGGTTCTCCCACTTGCTCCACCCCCAGCCCCCAGTGCCCCTTTTGGCATCTTCCCCAGGCCTTCTGCCTGACCCTTTCCCCAGCAGACCACCCTGTGTCCATCAGCTCCCTGAAGCGCTGGCCCCAGGAGGGTGTTTGGGACAATGGCAGGAGCACTGGGTTAGGAGTCTGAGTGTCTGGGTGCTACCCCTGATTCTGCTCTGTTGATGGGACCAAGCCCCTGACCCTTCTAGGCTTACTTACCCTTACAGGAAATGACATTTTAAAAAAGTTTTATCAATTTGTTCTCCTCCCTCTTTCTCTCCTTCTCTCTCTCCCTCTCCATCTTTTTTTCTTCCTTTTCCCTTCTGGCATTGGGTGTTGAACCCAGGGCATTCCCGCTGAGCTACATCTCGTCTTAATTTACTAAATTGCCCAGGCTGGGCTGGCACTTGGAATATTTCTGCCTCAGCTTCTCTGAGGGCTGGATTGTTGGTGTGGGCTACCATGTCCAACTTCCTGCTTATTTTTCTGTGTCGTTCAGGCTGGCTTTGAGTTCAGTAGGTGGCCCAGGCTGGTCTCAAACTCATGGCAATCTTCCTGCCTCAGCCTCCCAAGTGCTGGGATTACAAGTGTACACCATCACACCCAGCTAATTTATTCTTAAAGCAGTACATTGTTAAAGGCAAATAATATTTTAATATCATTTGGAATCATACCAGGGATGACCAGGACCCCAGGGGATCCCAGGATGAAGGGGGCAGGTGTAGCCTCTCCAGCAGTGGCAGATGCTCGGAGTGGGGGAGTCTGGCCCAGGTCTGCCATTTTGGCCTCTGCAAAGGCAACAGGAAACACAGCCACCTGCATCTGTACCCCTTGCCATAGCCACCACACCACTGTGGAGGGGTTGGGTCCCCAGAGCCCTGACCCACATCCTGCTGCAGCTGGGCTGTCCTAGTGATAAACAGCTTCCAAGAAGGTGCGCAGAGCCATCTGCGCAGGGGAGGGTGACACCCCAAAGGCTGTGGAGCAGCCTCCCTCCTGCCTTCTGCTCTAGCATCTGCCTCGGCAGCCCTGCCAAGCCCTCTGCACACCTGAAGGGTACACACAGCTGTATGCCTAACATGGTTTTTAGGAGACTGCAGCTCTGCAGCTGTGCAAAAGGGTTGGTTGCCCAGAAATTCTTGCACAGCGTATGGCCTGCCCCACCTCTGTTCGGTCCAGCAGCTGCCCCAGCACCTCTTAAATAGCCATCCTGCCTTTTCCTCTGACTTCCCTCTCTTGATAGTGCACAAGCAGGAAAAAGACTCCATTTCAAGTCCTGAGTTAACCTTTGACCTGCCCAGTGCGCTGGGGCAAGTCATTTTTCATCTCTTTTCCTGGTTTCTCATTCCTAAAATCGAGATAAGTAGCCCCTGCCTCCTTGCCTCGGGGGTGCCTGAGGACCGTGTGTACTAGGCAGAGCCGGTGGCAGTCTAATGAGGACAGAGTGCTTCAGAGCTAGCCTTACATAGTCATCTTCCCGGAGCCTTCCAGCAACCCCAGGGGGCAGACACTATTGTCATTTCATTGTAGAAGAGAATGTTCTCTACAAGTTGAGAAATGACTTGCCTAAAGTCAAATGGGTAGAAATGGAGGCGCTGGGCCTTGAACCCTGAAAGCCTTCATCCAGAGTTGCGAGTCTGCCTTTTGATTTTCAGTGCCACCTTAGTTCCTGACACAGATTAGGGATCAAATCTTGCTTCTGCCACTTACTGGTGTACATTGTTAGGCAAGCCATTTACTCTAACCTCAGTTTCCCTATCTGAAAAATGGGGGTTATCATCCTCCCAGTGTAGGGTTAAGAGGAGAGATGGATGGGTATTAAATTCCTGGCACAGAGTAAGTGCTCAGTGAAAGACAGTTGATACTATCTAGTATTAGTTATCCTAGTTATCCCCAGGTGGCCACTTAAGGACACAAGCCAGTGCCCAGCTCAGGAGAAGGCCTCTGAAGCTGTTAGGGCACATGGCAGCCATGAAGCTCATGGGTGTCTTATCATCTTCACCAGGGGATTCACTGGTGTCCCCTGAGGTGGACTTTGACAGGCTGCTGGCCAGCCTGAAGGATCTCAGCGAGCTGGCAGCAGAGGGTGAGACGCAGGTGATGCCAGTTCCCGGTGGGGCACGACTCCACGCCCTTGAGCCCATCCCGCTGAAGCTCTACCAGAATGGCATCGTGATGTTCAGTGGGCCCTTCCGGCCCTTCCATGACCCTGCCACACAGGTAGGTGCTGGGGGTGGAACTCTGGGGCCCCTGCTGCCTAACATTAATTGCAAATAACAGAGCCAGCTTACACCAGGTCCAGCCTGGCCTCCACAGGTCCCCAGGCCCTTACTCAAGTCCCAAGGCTCTGCGTATTTTTAGTGTTAGGCACTAGGCTAGGGCCACTGCCCAGGCCCAGCTGGCATTGCTCTTCTTCCTGCTGCAGCGCTGCCTCCGGGACATACTGGATGGTTTCTTCCCTTCAGAGCTCCAGCGACTGTACCCCAATGGAGTCCCCTTTAAGGTGATGAGCTGCTCCTCAACCTGATGCTTCTCATGTGGGGTTCTGGAGAGAATGGGGATAAATGGCTTTATTGGGCAGCCATTTCAAGGGAGCCACTGCCTGAAGTGAGGGGATCCAGGGGGATAATGGAGTCTAGGAGGAGGGTGAGCCTGGAGAGAGCTGGGAAGGAAGAGATGTTCCCCGCACCATAGCGATGTAAAATTCCCCATGCCGAGCAGCAGGCAGCGCCCTCTGCTGACGTGCTGAAGGCACAAGCTTTGGCCTGTCTGCTACTATCTGCATTCAGGACACCTTGACAGCCTGGCGTCTCCAAGGGGCCTAGGCACAACTGCCAAGCTTACCCCAAGGAGTCCTGAAGCCACCTGGTTGGGGTGGCAGTGCTGTGAGCCACACATACTGAGCAGAGGGGACAAGTGCTGGACCTCAAGGCCATGAGAGGAGCCAGTCTGTGGCCGGTGGTGTGAAAATAACATGTTGCCCTGGGGTCCATGAGGCAGCAGATTGCAGGGGCTTGTGAGGGAATGAAAGCCACAGCGCGGAGAACTGAGTTACAACAGCAGGGTGCTTGAAACATCTAGGCCAAGATGGGGCCCCAGAGCTGTGCCTTAATGGCACAAGTGAAGTGACAGGGTCTGTGCTGCAGGCCTTTGCCCTCTGCTAACATCTCCTGGGAGGGGACCTTAAGGAGAGAGCACTGTGGCTTCAGCTGCCAGGGTGAGGGCATGCTAGAGTATGAACTGTGGGTCTCCTGTTCTCCTCCAGGGCCTCAGTTCCTTATCTGTAAAATGGGGATTAGGCTTGTTCTTGGGGCCTCTGGGCAGGCAGGATGGGGATACGGCCCACAGCTGAAGGCCAGGGCTTGCTGCTGTCACCCTTCCTTCCTGTCAGGTAAGTGACCTACGCAATCAGGTCTACCCAGAGGATGGGCTGGGCCCATTCCCAGGTGAAGGCCGTGTGGTGGGCTGGCAAAGGATGCTCAAGGCTTCAGACAGGGTGGAGGAGCACCCAGGTAAGCGGGATCCCAAGGCTGGCCGGGGGGCCAGGAGGTTGTTCAGGACAGCCGAAGGTGGCCTCCACCCTTGCTCTCTGTCCCTTCCTGCAGGGATAACTGCGGAGAAATTTCTGAGCAGGCTCCCTAAATTTGTGATCCGACAAGGCGAGGTGATTAACATTCGGGGCCCCATCAGGGACACCTTGCAGGTAAGGTCAGGCCTAATTCTCTAGTCCTCTGGGGGTACTTTACCACTGACCCTGACCCAGGGTGGCAGAGCAGTGTGTTGTATGGAGGCTTAGCTGCATGGGCTGGAGGGGCAGGATGGAGAGGAGATGGGAAACTGGAAAGAGCTGGTAAGGGTGCTGTGGTGAGCCCCAGAGCACCTCCGTTGGCTGTCAGAGGAGTAAAATCAGAGTCCAGGCAGGTGGGGACTCCACCCCCGCCTGGGCTGGAAGATATGCTCCAGCCGAGGCCTATCTTCACGGAGCAGTCCTGGGTGCCCTGCAGGCCCTGAGAGAACTCATCCTTTCCTCACTGTCCATCCTGTTGATCTTCCCAGGTCACCCCTGAGAAAGGGGCCAACCCTCTGCGTCTCATGATTCCTCTGCCTTCAACCCCAGGTTGCTAAGTCCTGCCTGTCCCCAGGACTTCTCCCAAGCCTGTCTCTTCTGTTTCCCACCACCCACCACCTAATCAAGGCTCCAGTGTCTCCCAGGCAACCTCTCTGTGCCGGCCTCCCACCCCCATTCCTGCCCCTGCCAGCCATCCTCCCACAGCGGTCTTCTCTATTCTTGGCTAAAACCAATTTCCTTACCCTAGCTCTCAAAGCCTATCCTGCAACCCAGGGCCCTTTTGACCTCTCAAACCTTTCCTTTCTTCCATTCCTTTCTTTGGCTGTGAACTGCTGGTAGTTTCCCAAATGTTATCACTTCCTCCAGTACACTGTCCCTGGCCCCAGGATCTGTTCACTGGTGTTGGGACCAACCTTGCCCACATCCCATTTTTAAGGACTCCTACCCATCCTCCAGTCTCAGCTCCAGTGCGTCCCCCACCCACTCCCCACTTCCAGGAAGCTTTCCCAAGCCCTGCTAGCTTGGTCATCAGCTTTGTGGCTCCTCTTTCTGCCATGAGACGGTGGGGAAAGGATTCTTGGGGAAATGATGGGGCTGCCTCCCAGCACCTCAGGGTATGCAGAACACACCATCCCTTTGGTTCACTGGTTTCCACCTATTCCTGCTCACGGATGTCAAGGGCTGGGGGATGACTCAGGTGGGCTCCAGGGCTCTGTCCACGCTCCATGGATGCCTTCCAGAACTACTGCCCATTGCCTGTCCCGATCCAGGAGATCATAGTGGAGACACCTACCTTGGCTGCTGAGCGACAGAGGTAAGGGCAGGCAAAAAGGTGAGGGCCTGGGTTGGGAGTTGGCCACGGGCACTGAAGGCCTCTAGGCCTGCAGGAGCCAGGAATCGCCCAACACACCAGCGCCCCCACTCTGCATGCTGCGTGTCAAGTCTGAAAATGGGGAGCAGGCCTTCCTACTGATGATGCGGCCGGAGGACACTGTCGGCACTGTACGCGCCCTGCTAGCACAGGCCAGGTGGGAATGAGGCCGGGGTGGGGGCTGCAGGGAGGCTCTGCCCTGAGGCCCAGCCTGACCCACTCTCCTGGGCCCCCAGGGCCATGGATGCTGCCACCTTTGAGATCTTCAGCACATTCCCACCCACAGTCTACCAAGATGATGCACTCACACTGCAGGCCACAGGCCTAGTGCCCAGTGCAACACTGCTACTGCGGGCACGCAGGGCCCAGCTGCCTAGCCCTGGCCCCAGCCTGGAATAAAGTGCTGCCCCCAACACAATCAGCTCTACAAGGCTCTCTTGGCAAGGCTGTCTCCAGGGGAAGGGGTAGGCCCAGCTGGCCAGGGAAGGGGCGGTGCTGACCCTCCTCTCAGTAACTTGAGCCCCAGTTGGCTGGCTGGGTGCTGGGTCTTTGTCCTCAAGGTTCTTCTTTCTCCCAGGAAGGGCTAAAAGGAGCCTGTGATGGGAGGGATTCTTAGAAGGGAGTGGCCAGGCCTGGCTGGGTATAAATTCTCAGCCTCACTGGAGGCAGGAGAGCCTCACTATGTTAAGTGTGCGTCTATACAATACACACAGACAAGCTTGTGGGGACACTTCCTCAGCACTGCACAAAGCCACTGCCACAACCCCCTTGGCCTCAAACTTAAAGAACTACTGTTGTGTACCCACACCCATGATATACCCACACTTGGCCATCTGCTCCCACATAGGAAGGCAGCCACTCACAGGCACGCTAAGCGACATCAGCACACATGCATGTGGACGGGAGGTGTTCCAACATCCCTTGTCTCCAGAAACTGCTGGTCCACACCACACACTGACACACCCAGAAGTAGTAGACACATAAGCACATCTTCAGCACAATCACAACTACCGGCTTTACCCAGGACAGGGACCCAGGATGCCCTTGCCACAACCAGACATACAGTACCAATGGAATGGGCATTTAATTGTTCTAGGGTGTTGGGGGAGGGGGCTGCGGGGCCTTTGGCAGAGCTCTGGCTAATGGAACTAACAGAAGTGCCCACCAGCCAGTGTCAGGTGGGGTGGCAGCCGCAAGGCTTGGCTGAGGAAAGCTAGCCCTTGGGCTGTTATTTTAAGACAATTTCTCGGACTAGTAGATAAGGAATGTTGCCTCTGAATGGAGGAAAGGGAGTCACAGAGAGGGAGAAGGCTATAGGCTAGGGTGAGGGATTCCAAGGTAAGAAAGTTAAGACTGAAGGGAGTTGGTCACAAGGTCCTGCAAGGCTGTGGGGAGAATGTGGTGCTGAGTCCTGTGGGAACTGTGGGCTGGCTCAACTCAGGCCAGTTTCAGGAATTCCTGCAGTGTGTTCTGTTCCACAGCCTCCACGAAGAGCTCATAGTCCTGGGGGAGAAGGACGCAGTGGTCAGCAGAGGCCCAAGTACTGTGGTATGACCCTTAACTGGAGTCCACCGACAACAGCCGCCCCACTCCAGGCCATACCCCACAGTACTGGTCCCCGTTGACAATCTGGGGTGGGGTAGCCTTGGGGTTGCCTGCCAAGGCTCGCATCTCATCCCGCAGGGCGTTGTCCTGGGAGATGTCCACTAGCTGGTACTGGATGCGTTTGCCGTCCAGGATGCGGGTCACCTCGCTCTGCTGGGACTTGATCTGGGGCAGAGGGTGGGTAGGGTGAGTGAATAGGATGGGGTGTGGGGGCTCTGGGCAGATGTGATCAGGAGCTTTTGTCTCCTTGCCATCAGTGGAGGGTTGTGGCCACTCGCAGTTGGGAGTCAGGCTCCGGATGGTACAGAATGAAGGACCACCACTGGTGGGTGGGGATCCGAAAGCAAGAGAGCCAGCTAAAGCTCTGGACAGGGAAAAGAGGAACTCAGGGGGGTAAGCAGGGCAGGTCTGGCTGCTGGCATACTCCAAACACACGGTGGGGGGCAGGGTGGGCTGGGTAAGGACAAGCTAGGGGTGCAGAGAATGGGTTGGGGGATGGGCATGGGTGGTTCATGCAGGGGCTGCTGAGGACCCAGGATGCCCTGCGAAGAGATTCATGCAGGGGTCGTGGACCCCGGCCCCAAGAGACCGGGCCAGCACCTCCCAGCTCCCTACCCTGCTCCGCCCCCGTGGTAGGGGTGGCTCCCGGTCCCTCGGTCTTCGACCGGGAAACGGCTACACGCTCCTCAGCGCCAACCGGGCGCACACTTACTTCTCGGGAGCCGGTGACCGACGTGCTGTAGACCCGCAGGCCGCTCATGCTGCAAGCAGACAAACGTGCAGACAGACGGAGGGGCAGTGGTGGCAGCAGCTGCACTGCCGGGAGACGACGCCGCCGAGCTCGGGAGCGGTTTCCTTCCTGCTCCGCCCGCGAGTCACTGCTCTCGGACCAATGGGTGACGCAAGAGGGGAGGGCGGGGCATGCGCGGCACCGCCCAGCGCACTGGAGATACGCTCCCTTCCCCCAGGGTTGGCCTGGCGCTGGCGAAGCACTGTGGGGATCCCAGTCCTCTGCAGTTGCGCTGTTGACCCTGTCAGCCCTTCTAGACGTGGGGCTCACCGGGTGAGGCTAGGGAGGGACCAGATGGCAAGAACGGCCCGGAAGGCGATGATAAGGGCGTAACAAAGGGCTCCCCAGTTCCCCCAGGTTCTGGTACACAGAACCCCCCCCCCCACACACACCTCCGTCCTCGGTCTCCATCATAGTATAGCTCTGCTTGGGACTTTTTAAGATTTGTGCAGTTCCCAAAACTAAAGTAAAACAATACAAGGTGGACCCTACCAGATTTTTCCTAAGGCTTCTCAATCCAGACAAGTTTGAGCAAGAAAGGTGGCCGGAAGCAGGGGCCACACCCTCCAGGAACTAGCAGACCGAGGCTCCTAACTCTGGGAATGGTGGGGGCAAAGGTTAATGCCTATACTCCAGAACCTTGGCTCAGGCCGGCCCCCAACTCCTCTCCGCAGTGGTACCCCCACGGCTAGCCGTTACTATCAGCACTAATTCAAGGAGTTCAGAGGCAGCAGAAAGCAGCAACCAGTCCCAAATGGGAGATTTGGCTATTTGTTGGCTGGACATAAAGCCCCTTAGGGTTCAGATAGTCGACGGCCCCTTAAGACAACCTGGCTCAGAGGCACACAGTGCCTGCTCTGCTAAGAAACCACTTCCTCACAGATACAGACTTCCTCACAGAACCCTACCGAAACTTTAGTCAGCCTGCTCTATGACTCAGGGGAGCTTTGCCAAACAGAAAGTAGTGTGGGTAGAGATCTTATTTGTCCCCACAGAGTAACAGAGAAGCAGAAGTGGTAAAGATATGGACATGAAGCTGGGCCTGCTGAAAATCCCCCTTGCTGCTACTGGGAAACCTGGATAAACAGCCAGGCTCTGACTTCAAAAAACCAAAGTGATGGGGCTGGGAAGATGGCTCAGTAGAATAAGCATTTGCCTGGCAAGTGCAAGGGCCTGAGTTCAATCCCTGGTTCCATTAAAAAAAAAAAAAAAAAAAACAAGTGAGGGGTAAGGATCAGGGATGTCGGGGATGGTGGCGATGGAAGGCTATGGAAAACCAAGCATCTGTTAAATATTTTATTCTGTAATCAAAATAGGCAATACAAACCAGTTGACATAACAAATATTCATATAAATAACTGTTTATAAACTTTACAAGGAAAAATACCCCTGAGCATGGTGGCTTGGCTCCCAACACAGGGTGGAGACCAACCAGGCAGCTCTGCTTTAAGAGGCAGGAGCCCAGAGGCTGTGGGGGTGGCCAGCCAGGCAGGGCTGCTCTGAATGGAAGGGATAAGTCACTCCACAAATAAAACATAAACTTGAAAAAACACTTAAGAAGGAGGCTCATTCAGGCTTCAGAGTGAGGGCTGGGATGTTGCCAATATTCCAGTCTTGTGGATGTCTCCAGGCTCAGGAACTGCTCTGCTCCCCAGAACCCAAACATGGCTCCCGCCTGGCCTGCCTCCAGATTTAGAGGTGTGAGCCTGGCTAACAACTGGGAGATGCTCCCTAAACCGGGAGACAAGAAAAACCAGAAAGCAGATGGTTCAAAGACCTTAGAACAAACCAACCAAACCTAACTTCAGGAAACACTAAAAGCTATATCTTAAAGCTGACCCACACTGGGCACCCTCAACTCTGCTGGAGACCAAAAAAGAAAGGGAAGGAACTCCCCCAAACATGACAGACATAGGAGGGCCTGGCACAGGTCCCAGGGGGAAATGGTGAGCAGCCTGAGTTACTCTGGCCTTCTGGGCAAAAATTCTAATTAAGCCCTGAACCAGAGAGAAGAACTTCCACTCAAAGCCCAAGAAAGGGTTACCTGGAAGGCCTGAGCACAAAGGAAGATGCTATACTGAGCACACAGCCAGTATTCCAGGGACACAGGCAGCTGAAGAGTGATCTCTAATAAGGATGGCATAGAATTAAGAAAAGGCATGGCAGACAGATTAAGGACCCCCTACCTGCAATCTCTGGGTGCCCAATGCTAGTGGCTACTCTGCTAATGAATAGTCACCCTGAGGCTTCTGGGTGAGAATGATAGCCCTGAGGAAGAAGCTTTGGGACTGTGTTGAGAAAATCCCAAAAGCTAGCCCAATGCACAGAAAGAGTGGCACATGAGGCCTGAGAATTTGCAAATGGTCACTGCTACTCATCTCAGCCTTTCCAGGCCTAATGAATGAGTTCTAGGATCAGCAGGACCAAAGTATGGAGTGGGAATGACTGTGGACCCAACCTGGAAGATGGAAAGGAGAGATAAGTAGCTTATGTGCTTTCAATGTCAGCCACTGTTCAATGGGAACAGCAAAGATTTATCAGTTGAACCTGAAAAAGTTAGTAACTCACCCTCAAAAGGTAAATTAGGGTAAGAGTACAAACATAACCAAGGAACGCAAAAGCCATTATAGGGTGGGGGTAAGTACACTCCTCCTTTCAATAGTCCTTGGTCCCCAGACACAGGTTCTTCCCTCTCCACCCCTCAGGCTCCTCTCTGGGAACAGCAGCAGACAGGAGAAACACTGTCAGGGCTGAACCTGCTCACCAGGCTCTTAGCAGCTCAGGTCCTCCAACAGAAATACAGCCTGTCCACCCCCAGCACTCCTCACTGTGTAGCACAGTTTTCTCCCATGTCCTGGGCGTATCTGTCTGACATGGTGGTCCTTAAGTCTTCAATGTCCCGACGCAGTTGTTGAACCTCTTCTAGTTTCCTTCTGATCACATCTGGCTTCTGCAAATCTGCCTGAGTCTCTCCAAGGTGCTGTGTGGCTAAAGAGGAGAGCATTTCAAGTGTCAGCTGGTAAACACTCTCTAGAATGTGTGGTGCTGGGGGTCTAACCCAGGGCTTCAACTCAGGCCTGAAAGGTCAATGGCTCTACTGTTGAGCTACATCCCCAGCCCCAAGGCCATATTCCTTTTTAAATAAAGCCCCCCCCCCCCGCTTTTTTTTTGCAGTACCAGGGATCGAACTCAGGACTTTGCACTTGCAGGAAGATGCTTATGCCGCTGAGCTGTATCCCCAGCCCATATTCCTTCTTAAACACACTGAGAAAGGCCTGATAACTTGCTAAGAGCCACTTTTTATTCATCTTTCATGCAAATATCCTTATAAAGATGTCTGTTTGCAAAACACTTACTGAAGGCCTAATTCATGAAACAAATTCCCAGCCTATGTACCCTTTTATTTGCCCATATTACCACTAAGAAAGGTAGATGCCTTAAGAATAAAGGCCCCTCTCTAAAGGGTCCCAGCTGGCATGAGGACTCACAGTGAATGCCCAAGAGCAAGGACAGATTGGGGTCGTGGCCCTGGGCTCTCTGGGTCACAATGCTGCAGACAGCCTGCAGATCTTGAAGGCAACTGGCCAACTCCTGGTGCAGCTCAAATGCTAGCTGGGCCGTGTCTGATGAAGATGGGGACCTTTGTTGGGTCAGGCGCAGGTGTTCCTGCAGCGTCAGATTCTTCTCAATCAGGTCCTGGTTTTGCACTGAGAGCTGAGCAGATAAGAGGGATAAGCACATTAACTCCGGGGCAGAGAAGTAGCTATACATATGTGTGTTGCAGAGTGGGAGAGGTGGGGGAGGTGTGGAGAGGGGGTATGAATCATAGGCAATGGCCTCCCTCCCCACTGCCACCTCCACCAACGGGGTTAGTACCCTGGCCTTTCTACTAATAGTGGGCCTGGTTCATCTTAAGTATAGGATGGGACCACAGGTTTCTGCTGGACCAGAAGTTGCTCCTCAGTAGGCTTTGAGTCATCAGCCTCCAGGTTTCTATCCAGGAACCAGAGTTGCCCCCACTCACAGGAACTCTATCTGAAGCCAGTCCCTCAGCCAACTCTGTTAGCCAGGCTATTAGATGGCCTAATGTGAACAGTGAAATCTGAGGAGACACTGGTTTCAATCTCTCCCTGCCACCCTGACCAAAGTGGCCATCAGCCAGCCTTATCATAGACTGTCAAGAAGAATAAAGAAGGGAAGAAAAATAGTATGATAGTGGCTGCTAGGTATGGGGCTAGAGAAGGTGAACATCTAGAGGACACAGTGCTAAAACAGCCTGCTTTTTCCAACCCCCATCTAAATAGTTAGGCTTTACTCAAAGATCTGCTGTGTCTTTGTATATCTGTGTCACTTTCCCTGACAACTTTTTTAAAAGCATTTTTTCATGTATTTATTCAGCATTTGTATTTTTTCTTTATTTTTTTATTTATTGACCTGCTCAGCCCACCCTAAGGGCAGGGCTGGCATAGCATGCGGTGCTGGGGATTGTCCCCTGTGCCTGCCCAACCTTGCCAAAGCAGGCATTTTAGACCACTGAGCTATCTCTCCAGCCCTTTCCCTGAAAACTTAATCAACTTTCCTTTCCTCTTTTTTCTTTTTACAGTACTGGGGGTTGAACCCAGGTTAATACTGAACCACCCCTCAAAATCTCACTCTATCCAAGATCTCACTAAGTTGCCCACAATGGTCTCAAACTTGAGATCCTCTTGTCTTAGCCATCCAAGTAGCCAGAGCACAGGCATGCACCACACCGGTTTCCATTCTGTTTTATACAACTCTGAATAGAGTTCTTCCTCCAGTCTCAGCACTTCACCCAGACTGGGCCATGTAAGTTTTAGCTCTGATTCCTTCCTAGACAATTGGCCAGTGAACCCGGTGGTCCCCTGCGGATAGTTCTATTTGTTGCCTGAAGATAACCATATTCTTAGTCGTCTTGAATCTTTCTGCCCAAACTCCACAAAGCTATGTCTATATACAAAAGGAAAATAACTTCCCACATCTAAACAGCACTTCTTGGTAATGATGACCACTCTCTTCAGACTTTTAACATAAAGGATGGTATCATATTATCTTCCCCCACCTCTGTTCGAAAAGCTCAACAAAGACTTCCTCCACACTGCGGTTGTTTTGAGGGAAGGGAAGGGAGAGGACACACAAAATCACTTTTGTGGAGGCTGTATCAAGAGGCCTGGCCAGGGCCGGGGAGATGACTCAGTAGAATAAGCACTTCCCTGGCAAGTGCAAGGGTCCGAGTTCAATCCCCAGTTCAACCAGGAAAAAAAAAAAAAAAAAAAAGAGGCCTGGCCAATGCTACTCACCTCCTTCACAGCTGTACGCAGCTGCTGCAGAGCTGTCTCCCTCCGCTGGGCCTCTTCTTTCAGGGCCTGGCTTGTTCCTTCTTCTTGAGACATTTCCTGCTCTAGGTTCTGAATTCCATGGAGAACACATCACTAGTAAGTCTGATTCAGACCATATCACTTCTGGCCTGGACTATACAGTATAGTGAAGCCCCATCTGACCTACACACTGCTGCTGAGAGATTATTTTAGAACAGTAATGGTCAACCTATGGCATGCATGCCTCAGCCAGCTGTTTGTTATCATGAAAAGCTCTAAAGGACTTGCCATCATTGTTTGAGATGATCCCTGATCTATATATGATTTCTCATTTAAACTTTTTTTTTTTTTTAAAGGCAGGGTTTCACTATGTAGTACAGGTTAGCCTTGAACTCATTTATGTGGCCTAGGCTAGCCTCAAACACAAGGTGATTCCTCTGTCTCAGCCTCTTGAGTGCTGAGACTATAAGTGTGCATCACCACACCCGGCTTTGTTTTTTGAGACATTGTCACACTTTGTAGTTCAGGCTGGCCTCCAACTCACTATATAGCCCAGGCTGGCCTTGAACCCATGTTCCTCCTACCTCAGCCTCCTGAGTGCTAGGATTACAGGTGTGTGACATCACGCCCAACTTTTTTTTTTTAAATTTATTTATTTTATTATTTATTTGGGGGGGGGCCAGTTCAGCCCACCAGGGGGCGGGGCTGGCTGGCATGTGGTACTGGGGATTGAACCGCAGTCCCTGTGCTTTTGCTTAACTTAGCTTGTTCTAAGTAGGTGCTTTAGACCACTGAGCCATCTCACCAGCCCCATGCCCAACTTCTTACTTAAACTCTTTTATAGCACTAGGGAGATAGCTTGGCAGTCTAAGCACCTGCCTGGCAAGTACAAGGATCCAAGGTCAATCCTGGGTACCACGTGCTTCGCTGGCCCTAAAACCTGGTATGGTGATGCATGCCTATAATCCCAGTGCCAATAAGGCTGAAACAGGAGGGTCACTACGAGTCTGAACTGTATAGTGAGCCCTGTACCAAATAAAACATTAAAAAAAACACAAACCTCTTTGATAAGTCTCTGAAAACATACCAAATTAAGGTCAGCGTCTTGGCAAAGCATTTGAAGCCACTTGACTCCTCTTTACTTGCCCATTTTTTCATCTTCAGCACAGCCTCCACTCTAGCCACACTGAATGACTGGTCTTTATCCCTAAAGTTTCCAGCTCTAAAGGTTTTGCTTCCTCTTTTTTTCCTTTGTTCAGACAGCTCTTTTGCTCTGCCAGTCACTCTAGGAAGCTCCAAGGCCTACCTGTACCTTCTTCAACTTGCAAATCAGATCTAATTAATCCTGATCTCATCTGTCACTCACACTCCTACCTTAGCTCATGAATATATCTGTTTAATATTCTGTGGGCTATATATATACAGGGTCTTTCTTCTCTGCTTGAACACAATTTTCTTAAAAGCAGAGAATGAGCCATGCAGTTGAGTTCATTACTTGTGTATTTGGTACAGGGTCTCACTATGCAGTTCAGACTCATAGTGATCCTCCTGTTTTCAGCCTCCCAAGGGCTGCGATTACAGGAGTGTGCTACCACACCCAGTCTCTGTAGCTGAGTGCACCCAGGGGGCAGGGCTGGCGTAACATGTGGTGCTGGAGATAGAACCCTGGTCCATGTGCTTGCCTAAGCAGGCACTGAGTTCATTATTTGTTCAGTGCCTTCTATGATAGGTACTATGGACACTGGAAAGAACACTGAACAGTCTCTGTTAGAAGCTAAAAATCCAATGCTGGGTATGAAATGTTTCAACACATGGAAAGGAGGAGGGCACACGAGCATCTCATTGTGTGTGTGTGTGTGTGTGTGTGTGTATGAATGGTGGTCAAAGTCATAGAGAGGGATACACTTAAGTTTATCCTCTTACCTCTCTATTCATTCCAATACCTCTTCCAATCACAAAACTAATTTGAATAAATATATAAAATATTTTA